AAAAAAAAAAAAAAAAAAAAAAACGGGTGAGGGTAGACTTGACCCAAGGTCTCCATTACAACCAGCCAGCTGGTTAATTGACACCTTCTACAAATTAGGGGAGTTACGAGCACAAATAATACATGCAGAAATCTTTTCCAACAGTATATTAGGGGAGTTATGGGCACAAAGAAATTTTTTTTTTTTATGAGAATGCCTAATGGTAGAGATCTAAAAGGTTATTTTGCAACAATATATTGTTAAAGAGGGTGCTTTTTGGCATCGATGCATTTCATTCCATTCACGGGTTTTGCCGCATCAGAAAAAAAAAAAGAAGCATCATTTAATCACCTCGGACAAGCCATATTTTGGAAAAACATTATTGCAATGCTTAGTCTTGGATTCATGAGGGGTTTCTCGAATTTGCCAAAATTGAAGTAGAAAACAAAACACATATGTTGCATAATAATACTTCTAGATTAACATTAATAAATTTGACTTAACTCTAACATCTCACAACATAAAAAAAAAAAAAGACAACTACATATAACCCATCAGCCCACCCCCAAGACCAGGTTTTGCCCATCAAAACCAACAAATGATGTCAATTAAAAACTGAAAACCTAAAAGCCCAGTCCAATCCCATGCACAACCCACTTTTGAGAATATATAAAAACAAAATGTATGACCATATTCGACCAATCAATCCACTCTCTAGACCAAGTCTGACCCATCAAAAATAGGCCCAACAAAATTATATGCAGCTCAATCCCTTGCACAACTCATTTCTCCTAGGGGTGAATTCAAGATGAGCCTAACTGAATATTTGGCTATTCGAGCTTGGCTCACCAGAAAACCATGAGGCTCGAGCTCGAGTTTAGCTCATTTCAAAAGCTTGTAAGCTCGAGCTCAACTATGAGCCAAGCTTCCTATAAAATTAAAAAATTATTTTTTATTTTACATATAAAAATTTAAGAATATATAAACTAGTTATTATTATACATGTAAAAACTAAAATATTATGTATATATATATATATGATATTTTTATTTTTTATTTTATATATATTTATGTATATATTATTTTTATATGTATAATATATATAAGCTCGACCAGGCTCGTGAGCCTTATGGGTCGAACTATATTAGACTCAAGCTCAACTCAATTAGAAAATGAGCCTATATATTGGGCTTAAATTCAACTCGAAGCTCGGTTTAGACCTAGCCAAATTGATTTTTTCACGAGCCAAACTCAAATAGCTCGTGAAAGGCTCAATACGTTTCCACCCCCAATTTCTCCCAACATATAAAAATAAAATGATTAACCATATAAGGCCCACCAACCAAACCTCTAGACCAAGCCTAACACTACTATACATGCACCAATAATAAGCCAATCAAACCCCATCAAACTCAAATAATAAATTGAGCTACATCTCCACACATTTCTAAAACCCAACACCACATAATATTTGCAGAGATGTCACCATGGAATACTTGAGGTTCAGGGGGTATTCCACCTACCAACTCCATGGAATATTTGAGCTTTGTTTTTACTTTTTTTATTTAATAATTTCACAAGATTTTCAACATCCATTTTTATATTTCTCATATTTTGGAGTTGATTTAATTTTTATGTGTTTTGGAGTTTATTTTCATATTTCATTTTAAAAAAAAACCTTAGTCAGGTGAGAAATGGATTTCTGTATCCATAAACCTAGCATATGTAAGAGTAGATTTGCCATTGGTAGCCCTCTATGCTATTCTTCCTAATGGGAGAAAGCAAAAATTAAAAAAAAAAATCCCATCTATTTACTTAAAAGATTTAAAAGAAAGCTCAATATAAAATATATTCTAATTATGTCTAAAATTTCCAAGTTTCTTTTTTGTTATATTTTCTTTTGGTAAATCAAATTTCAAAATGAATATCGCTCAGCATAAGCTTGGGGGCCTGGTTGTTACTTTTGTGTTAATATAAAAGTAATTATTAATATAAACTAATTATTTTTAATTTTTTTAATTTTTCTTTTTTAAGAAATAGAATTGGATTAAATTGGAATCCAATAAAATTCAAATCCGATCCACGTTATTATGTTTTAAAGTTACAACTTTTAAAATTATGAAATGAAATGAAGTTGCATTAATTTAATGAAATAATTAATTAAATGAAAGGGAAATGGATTAAATCCCAATTGATAAGATTTGGATTCCAATTCAAATTCGACTACAACCTTATTTATGTTAATATAAGAGTAACTATTAATATAAATCTAATTATTTTTTAAAATTTAAAATTTTGTTTTTAAAAGAAATGGAGTTGGATTAAGATTTTATTATTTAAATGATGATAGAGAATATTCAGATAAAATCCCAAAAATAGTAAAAATTATAAAAAATTAAATTAAAAAGTATTTTAAGGAAGGTTGTTAATATAATCTTAAAAGTACATAAATAATAAAAATATAAAAATTAGATTATCATTAATATTAAAAGAACAAAAACAAATAATAAAATAAAACTATTGTTTATAAAAATTATTTAAAAAGTGCTGGGTTAATGCAGTTGACCTAAAATGGTTGAACCACTGACCTGCTACCCCTTTTGCCCTTTGATAGATGTTTGCATCACAGCATTCAAACTAAATCCAACGGTTTTAGGTGTACTACACTATTTGAAGCTTGACAAGTGGACATTTATTGTTGAAAAAAATCATTATAGTTCTCATTCGTCACATCAAATTTAAAATCCCAAAATAGTAAAAATTATAAAAAATGAAATTAAAAATGTTTTAAAGAAGGTTGTTAAT